TTCCATGCAGATCTAGTGGGAATGGATGTTTCTGCCTTTATTCCTCAAATAAACTAGCATGGTTTGCTGAGCATCTACATCTGGAGCCAAGCTGGGAGGGAGCCAACTCTGGGGCCAGGCTGGGTGGGCTGACATCCTCGATGCATGCTGACCAGCTATGTGAGCTTGACCTAACCTCTGATCAATGTATGAAAAGCATGTAGACGAGTACCAAGGACATGATAAAAGTTCACTAACTGACACACATTTCATTATGATTGAGTCCTCATCTGCCTTCTCTGGGACCATATCATAAAAAGAAAACTATCACAAGAGGTGAATTCATGTCTTCAACTTCATTTTCTTCTTTTCAAACAAAAAGTCACAAACAGGTAAATAGAATGAAGGTCTTGTACACACATGCTTGTAGGTTTGGCTAATGAGACTTTCTGGTTGTGTACAGCCTCTACATCAAACATGTCAAACTTGCGGGCCACACAACAAATATTTTTGTGGCCGAGCCAATATAACGGTATGTAAAAAACGTTTTAATAAAAATTTTGTAACTTAATTTTTACAATATCCTGTTACACATAACCTATATATATATAAAACCCTAATATGCAAATAGACCGAATGGTGGAATAACTGAACCAGTTGCTATGACATGCCCTGACCACCAGGGGACGTGCACAGAACATGGCGGGTGTTGGCAGCAGGCAGCAGAGTGCGGAACATGGTGGGCATCAGCTGCAGCAGGATGGTGGACCAGGTGTGCGGGGGCGCCAGACCAAGGCGGGGCGCCGGTCGCTGTCATCAGGGCAAGTCTCTGGTGGTTACTGAAAATTCTTTGCTCCCACATGCCGCAGTCCCGCCCGGTGCTCGCACCAGCTGCCAGAGTCACCGCTCGCACCCACTGCCAGCACTGGCCCCGCTCGCACCCACAGCCGGTGCCTGGCGCTGGTCCCGATAGCTCGGTGCCGTCAGCAGGCGTGAGCGGTGGCTGCTGGCCCTGATCACCCCTGAGGGCTTCTCCATCTCCCCCTGCTCCTGAGGGGTGATCGGGGCAGCAGCCTGATGGCACCAGCCCCAATCGCTCTGTGCAGTCAACGGGTGCAAGCGGGGCTGGTGCCGTCAGCGTGTGGGAGCGGCAGCGGCAGGAGTGAGGCTGCTGGCACGCAAGGGGACCAGGGCTGCAGTGGGGAGGCGCCAGGTGGGGGTGCGGAGGATGGGCCAAGACCCGCCCCTGGGCCCACCGCAGCCTCACGGCCCACAGTTCCTTTCAAGGTGTACGAATTCGTGCACTGGGCTCCTAGTTATTAATAACAAACTACAACGTTCACTAATGACTGATTACTATAATCATGTTGCATTAATTTCCCTTACACACCTTACATGCAGGCACACCATTTCTCTCCCCTAATACTCGCAGCGAATATTTTAGCAGCCGATTGCCACGTCATTAATCTTGGACTGACTTGTTTCGTGTGTGCAACAGGAAATATTTCATTTTCGGAGAACAAGAAAAATAGGCTTATTGGCTTTAGGCTTATTAATTTGTGCAATTATTCAGTGTCTGGTAAGTTAATGTTCAAGAAAAAATATTAATTTTTATTCAAATGTTCTATTGTTTTATGTTAACGATTACTCATTATTTCAGCCCTTTGTATTCAGCATGTCTATATCGAAATAAACTTATGTTTCTATGAAAATTGAAGCTTTTGTTTTTTTGTGGCCCACATAAACTTAAGCCTTGTTTATTTGGCCCATGTTAGCCTGAGTTGGACATGCTTGCTCTACATGCTGGAATAATGCATCCCAACCCTAAACCAAGCTCCAATATACAAATTTAATAAATGGCACTGGTCCTTCTAATCTCTTCCTATATGTGATTGATCAACATCTCTTGTGGAAATTACTGTTTTGGAAAGTTGGGACAGGAGGGCAGAAAACCTAAATTACCTGAACAGCTTGAACTCCTGGAGTTTATCTCCAAGCTACTGAAAATAATCGGCTATCAAGGGCTCCACCTACAGGCACCAAGAAGGAAAGACTACATTAAAGGTAGATGTTATTTATGCATAGTACAGAAAATTTTGTCCATTCTTCTTTTGAAAAAGTTTCCAAGATGAAAATAAATATAAGAATTGCTTCTCGCCGAAACTGGTTTGGCTCAGTGGATAGAGCGTCGGCCTGCGGACTGGAGGGTCCCAGGTTCGATTCCGGTCAGGGGCATGTACCTGGGTTGCGGGCACGTCCCCAGTGGGGGATGTGCAGGAGGCAGCTGATTGATGTTTCTCTCTCATCGATGTTTCTGGCTCTCTATCTCTCTCCCTTCCTCTCTGTGGAAAATCAATAAAATATATTTAAAAAAAAAAAAAGAATTGCTTTTCTTTCAGCCCTAGATGGTTTGACTCAGTGGATAGAGGTGTTGGCCTGCAGATTGAAGAGTACTGGGTTCGATTCCGGTCAAGGGCATGTAGGCTCCGGGCCCTGGTCAGGGCATGCAGGAGGCAAACAATCGATGTGTCTCACTCACATCAATGTTTCTCTCTACAATCGATGTGTCTCTCTCACATCAGTGTTTCTCTCTGTCTCTCCCTCTCCGGTCACGCTCTCTCTAAAAATCATGGGAAAAATATCCTCGGGAGTGGATTTAAAAATAAAACTACTTCTCTTTCTGAGGGATGAAAGTTCAAGATCTAGAGATCCAAAATTCTTTACAACAGGACACTCGGGAACTCAAGGGTTGGGGTGGAAAGCGGCTTCTGAACATGTTATATGAGAAACAGCTGAAGAAAATAGGGGTGCTGACATATGAGGGGACTGAAGGGTGGGAAGCTGGATGGTATCTGACAGGCTAATGGGAGTGAAATTGTCTCAGTAAAGGGTGAAGTTATTGGAGAACAGATTTTATGTCATAAAGAAGAAGAAAATTTTTTTTAAATATATTTTATTTATTTTTTACAGAGAGGAAGGGAGAGAGATAGAGAGCTAGAAACATCGATGATAGAGAAACATCGACCAGCTGCCTCCTGCACATCTCCCACTGGGGATGTGCCCGCAACCCAGGTACATGCCCTTGACCGGAATCGAACCTGGAACCTTTCAGTCCGCAGGCCGACGCTCTATCCACTGAGCTAAAACCGGTTTCGGCAAGAAGAAGAAAATTTTAATAATGAGCACTGTCCATACATAATGAGGATCAGGGTGAAGGATCATCCTGGAGGATTTTAAGCAGGGGCTAGAACAGTGATGGCGAACCTTTTGAGCTCGGCATGTCAGCATTTTGAAAAACCCTAACTTAACTCTGGTGCCGTGTCACATATAGAAATTTTTTGATATTTGCAACCATAGTAAAACAAAGACTTATATTTTTGATATTTATTTTATATATTTAAATGCCATTTAACAAAGAAAAATCAACCAAAAAAATGAGTTCTCGTGTCACCTCTGACACGTGTGTCATAGGTTCGCCATCACTGGGCTAGAAGGTCAAACACTAGGAATATTAGAGGCTGATGAGCTGGCTGAGAATTAAGCTGGATTACATTTAGGACTTAGTTCTAAAAGTTTGAGAATGTATATTAAAACCTCTAACAACTGAACAGTCCTCTTGCTAGAAGGCTAATTGGTATCATCCTCAGACTTATTTTTTCCATATTAAGTACCCACATTTTGTGCTTCAAGCCCTTACTCAATCTCAAAATAATTTTAAGAGAAAAACATCGAAGTCAAAATTTAGGGTGGATTATACCAATGTCAACATCCAAGTTTTAACATTATACTATAGTTATGTAAGATGTTATCACAACTAGAAGCTAGGTGAAGGGTACTCGGAACATCTGCACTATTTTTGCAACTTCTTGTAAATCTATTATAACTCAAAATAAAAAGTTTTTAAAAATAAAATTAAAGATACTTCCCCAAGAGGTTCTAAGTCACCTCATAGACAACCTAGTTTGATTCACAAGTACAGTGTCATCAGCCACAAATGACTCTGCAAGAATGTGCAAGCAGCAGGGCTCATTTCAAAACCATGATCAATCAGCCATTAAGATTTACAATTGTGATTAGGAAAGCCTATGTCATGTTTACAGGTATCTAATTTGGTTACACTGATTATAAATCTTATCTGAGATCACATCAATAAAATCACCTATAGGCAATATATTATTACAACTGCTTCCTACATGGTACTACACAGGAGCGAGGTACATCCAGACTTAATTACTATATATTTATCTAACAGAATACAATAATGTCCTTATGTCTTTTTCCTCCACTATGATTTGCAACAAGAACTGGATCATATTCATCTCATTTTATCACCAAAATCTAACCCAATAGACAGTCATAAAATAAATAAGAAATAAACCAGTAATTAAGTTATATTCTTAGACTTCTGGGGGTGACTTTTTTTTTCTTCTTTTTTTATTTTTATTGATTTCAGAGAGGAATGAAGTGGGAGAGAGAGATAGAAACATCAATGATGAGAGAGAATCATTGATTGGCTGCCTCCTGCATGCCCCACACTGGGGATCAGGCCCGTAACCCAGGCATGTACCCCAACCAGGAATCGAACCGTGACCTCCTGATTTATAGGTCAATGCTCAATCATTGAGCCACACTGGCCAGGTTGACTTTTTTTTCTTATACAAAGAAATCTAAGTCTCTATTTTGGAATCAGGATTAAATATATATTCACATGTGCACTCGTGTGCTTGTCTGAAGCACAGGGGTTTAATCTCTAAGATCTTTATAACCACTTGGTTTTTATTTGTTAGTTTCCCAGGATATAGTAACTCAGCTTGATTAGAATAAAACAGAGAGGTCAGGCTTTTCCAAACAGGAAAACCAATATGAATTGTTGAACAGGTCCCCTCAGCTTGCAAGTCCCTGCTAAAATGATCTCTGCCCAATTTCATCAAGTGCCAAGAACAACCAACTTCTTTCAGAGATCACTGAGACAGCATCATTTTGCATTCTTTGATATTAACCAATCAAGAAGCATATAGCAATTTCTTTAAATTTTCTCTCTCAATTTATTAAAAGACATGTTTTTTAAATAAATATTATGAACAACTCAAATCAAACAAAGCAGTGAGACCACAAAGTGCTGCTTCTTTCTGAAAAGAAGTCACATCATTAGCCTGTACAAAAAATCGGCTAGTCACAACCAACGCCAAGTAGGCTGTCTGAACGATGTGATGGCAGCTACTTACGATCCTAGAGACACCAAGGACTCCACAGGGTCAGTCATCTGAACAGGCTCAGAAGCCGGCTTGATCCTTAGGACCTCTGCAAAGCCATCACCAAACCAGCAAGTGACGTGTGCTGTGTCTACAGTAAAGTAGAAAAGGCGGTCCTGGCAGAGCTTCCGTCGGTATGCAGACCGGGGGTCGGCTGACAACACAGCCTCGATGGCATGCCTTGCTTCCTCTGCTGACTGAAAATACTTAAATGAAGCCTGACCAACATCTGCAATGAGAAGAACACAACTTAATGCTCAAAATCACACACGTCAAATTTTATTACAGCAAACTTCAATGAGGAGCTTTATTAGTTCCTTGAGTATCACTTGAAATGAAGAGGGTTTGGAAATCTCAGTCATTACAGAGAATGTCACCTTCAAGTGGTACTTAGAGTACTATCTTTTCCTTCAGGAAGCCTTCAAGTGTCATTAAACTTATGGGTCCCCCAAATTTCCACTTGCTAAACAAAAAATATCATGGTGATATTTTTCCTTAGTCCCTTAATAGGAGAGCTGAGCTTTCATTTTCTGGCAACCTAAGTGTCACTTTTCTATGATCAATGTAGACTTTAATTCAATTCCTTGTCATTTTCTTCTCAGAATAAATGGAGACATGATCAGGGAAATACGTGACAGGCCCAGCATTCTCAGAAAGCCACAAGAAAGAGGACTAAACCCACACAGGCCCAGAGCACTAGCTGTAAGCAAGGGAAGGTGCCTCCAAGAGCAGGTGTCACACAGCCCCACAGTTAGTGACGTCACATTCTCTAAGGAACAGAACATGAGAGAGTCCTTGTGAAAACTGTGGAACAGATACACTGAGAAAGTTCAAAGCCATCACTAAAGAACAGGCCAACCCATTCCACCCAGGTGTGTATGTCAGGCAAACAGATGTTTACCCTGCCAAATAGCAACACTTCCTGCATTGATAGCATTGTAAAATCTATGTATATAAAAGGCTAATATTCTAAGTGTCCATCCTTCCGTCCGGGTAATGATGTCACATAGCAATGCCCAACTTCCTCTCCCTATTGACAACTAGCATCCCTGCAGTTTCTGCAGCCCAGGAACACAACTTGCTTTATAGCCAGTGGAAACACTTTACACTATAACCAAATGTCTGTGAAGCGTTTTCCTGTGCCTCATCTCATTTGATCCTCACAGAAATCCTGGAGTAGGTAGATAGGAGACTCAGTGGAATCCTGTTTTCTTTTCATTAGCTGGAAAACGGAGATTTAGAAAGCTTAGAAACTTGAACCGACTGAAAAGAAGAAATGGTGGACCTTAAAAATGACTTCAGGTTTTCTCACTGCACAGAATATAGTCAAACACTGCTGCAGTTAAATATTTTATCCTTTGTTCTCCCTGCGTGATCTACAATAATAATCTGCTTCCTGTTGATATTTACTGCTGTGTTGCTGACAATTACCTGAAAGAGAAGTTGGGATGCTTCACTGGGCTGGAAAAAGTTTAGCTAAATCAGAAAGCAGGTCTAATTAAGCAAGTTTGTTCTATATCTATAAAAGGCTAAGTTGACTCGCGCATGCATAATACATGTAAAGCTCTCAGCGCCAAACGCACACATGTGTTTCCATCTGTCATTGTCGATCATGAATTTAGTTGACATTTCTATTATAGAGAAAGGGTGAATAGCAATATTAAAATACTTCTTCTAATTAATTTCCTTTCAATGTGCATGAATTCATGCACCAGGCCACTAGTAGTTAAATAAAAATTAACAGTGACCTAGTTTTTAATAGCTATAACATAATATATATATGTCCAGATGAAGGCAAGACCTTTCCAGAAAGGCATGTGCTTTAAACAATGTTGTCCCTATTCAAAATATCATCTAGAGCAGCGGTCTATGTGAACTAGTGGTCCGCGGCCCACCGGCTGGCAACTGCTGATCTAGAGTGGCTGTGGGTTCCTATCCTTCTGAAAGGAAATTTAATTTTTAGAAAACAGCCAAAATTCATTCTAGGCTATCTCCAATAAATACGTTTGTAGGTAAAGCCATGAAGTTCAATTGTTGATCAAAAAACAAGGACCAATTACACAGTGCTAAGATTCCCTTGTTGCACGGCTCATAAAATGACTCTAAAACCATTCAAAACAGCAGAGTTCCAAAAACATCCACACACAGCAAAGAAAAGAAAAAAAAAAAATAAAAACAAAAAACGAAACAACAATAGAAAACACGTCACATACTTCAGTAACAGTGTGTCTGGTAGAAGCTCCAGGCCTTTGCCTGGCTGTTCATTTGGCATAGGTACCTTCCCTCACTTCCCTGTCTACCTATCCTTCTGGGCTAAGCTCAAATGCCTTTTCCTCTAGGAAGCCTTCCCAGATTGTCTCTCTGCTGCACAAGTCAGAACCCTCCTCTCCCTCATGTTCCCACAGCACTCTATCAGTGCCAACCTCTCTCCCTCCATTCAGTATCTTTCATCTTTTCTAGACTCTGAACTTTCTGAGCTCATTTCTTATTTCTATACAGGCTCTAAAGTCTGCTATCTGTTATAAATCAATCCCTGTTTATAGTTATATTTTGTAATTTCTTTTTAACTATTTTTAATTAAGAAAGTACAACACTGCTGCCGAAACCGGTTTGGCTCAGTGGATAGAGCGTCGGCCTGCGGACTGAAGGGTCCCGGGTTCGATTCCGGTCAAGGGCATGTACCTGGGTTGCGGGCACATCCCCAGTGGGGGATGTGCAGGGGGCAGCTGATCGATGTTTCTCTCTCATCGATGTTTCTAACTCTCTATCTCTCTCCCTTCCTCTCTGTAAAAAATCAATAAAATATATTTAAAAAAAAAAAAAAAAAAAAAAAAAAAAAAAGAAAGTACAACACTGTAGTTTGAAAAAGAGAAAACTTTCCAAAGTAAGAAGCATTCAACAATAACCACAAGACAAAGGGCAAGAGTAAATATAAAGTATCTTCTAGGGAGCACTGCTTTGTTCTACCACAAAAATCCTTTTAAAACTGAACTTCCTCCTCCCCATCAACTGTATCGAGTGATAAAACAACTTTCATAAACAAAACTTTCTAATAAGGAGATCAATTTAAAAAGCAAATGCTTTGTTTAAACATAAAGCCTTAGGAGGAATGAGAAGCACAACCCTCCAGGGGCAGATGAAATCTGACATCTCCTTCATAACTGGCTACTTTCTATTGGAGCCACTGCACCCACCTCTTCACAGCCTGTCCTTCATTCTAGATGCTGCTTTGGATCTGCTATGGGCTGGAGAAACCAGATAATGTTTTTAAAGAACCACATATTAAAGAAAACAGGCTCCAAGTAAAAGTCTGGCCTCTTCTGCAATAAAGTGCATGTCTCTAGTGCTAGGACTTTATGTGGACAGTTTCTGTGCTAAGAGATCTTACCCTCAGAAATAGCAAGTTTGGCTAAACCTCCTAGTAAAAGCTCCTCTCTCATTCAGAAATAAGAAATGGAAAGTACCCGGTTCACCTTCTGAACTGAGGTGCTCAAGGTCCATCTCCGCGTGAGGAGTAAACCGGACTTGCAAGGTGGCCACAGGGGCCTCTCGCACCCAGGCGGGAACCACACTGTGGTGGGCTGCGTCAGCCATCCGGGGAGGGCAGTGAGGAGGCACAGGCTGCACCTCCCCACTGCCTCCTTGTGGGACCACTGCTTCTTTCCTTCTCCGTGGCCGCTCATCTGTACTCTCCTCTGAAAAGCTCTTCTCCAGGCGAGATGGGCCCATCTGCTCCTCCGCCACACTTAGTGTCTGACCACTTCTGGATTCTAAACCCAAGTCTGCTGTCTCCCTGTGCCTAGGCGAGCGTTGCTGTATTTTGGCTGTGTCTTTGTGTTGCCTGTCATTTTCTCCTGAAGCTCTGTGTTCGGGACAGGTAGGCTTCTCCTTAGTGCGACCGCAGGGCTGTGGTTCCTCCCACTCAGAGAGCTGTTGCTGAGCAGGGCTGTCAGTCTTGGCATCAGACCGGGACACAATTTTTGGTTTATATTGGTTATTCTGTAAATTACACTCCCCTAAAGGCTCAATCAAATTTTGTGGTGAGTCATAATCAGCAATGTAGGGCTTTATGTCCAGTACAGGTGTGCCATGAATCATGTCAATTCCAGAAAGGTAGATAGCTCCACCTATAATGTGAAAAATACCTCTTAGAAATAACAATGAACAATAGTGCAAACAACTGAAGAACTGGCATCATCTACCTATGCTTCCCCAAGCTTGCTCACAATTCTCTTATGTACCAGGCTCTCTTACACTTGGTGCTGACATACACTGGAAACCCATCCTCGTCTTTACCTGTAAAACTCCCACTTGCTCTCCAAGGCTCTCACATAACACCTCTTCTACAAAAGCCCTCCTGGCTCTCCCAGACATAAGCGCTCTTTCGTGTTCTAGAGGAACTGTATACAAACTTCTCCTAGAGCCCTCTTCATGTGGTCAGGCAATAACCGGCTTAGAGTCTCTCTCCCTAGACAGTGAGCAGTTGAACCCTTCAGCACTGGGTGGGGCTGACTCATCTTTGCATCACTGGGGCTTCTAACTCTGTCAGGCACATTGGTGTCCTCAATGTATCTCTGTGGGACCAATGAGGGTTTCCATTGTGGCAAACAGACTCTAAGGTGGTCCCCATGATGCCCACCTCCTGGTGTTCACGGCCGTGTACAATCCCATCCTCTTGAGTGTGACTTGATATCACTCCAGTAACTATATTATGTTAAGATGCCTGTGCTTGCTGGCAGACTCACTCAAGAGACTCTCCATGTGGACTTGATGAAGTAAGCAGCCACTCAGGGATAGCCCAGGTGGCAAGAAACTGCAGGCGGGGTGTCTAGGAGTGGAGGGCAGCCACCAACCAACGACCAGCAAGAAGCTGGGGCCCTCAGTCCCACAACTATAAGGAAGTGAATTCTGCCAACAACCTGAGTGAGCTTGGAAGTGAATTCTTCCACAGTCAAGCCTCCAGATAAGAACTCATCCCAGCTGACACCTTAATTGAAGCCTGGTGAGACCCTAAGCTGAGGACCCAGCTCCTGACCCACAAAAACATAATGTTTTAAACACATAATAAATGTGTATTATTTAAACTGATAAGTGCATAATTTGTTATGCAGCAATTGAAATTTAATACTCCATCAAACAATTAAGCAGAACACAAGTCACCATTAACAAATATTAAGAACAGGTCTCTTATTTTCTCACTTACATAGCTGCTATCCAGATCCTACTACTCATGCACAGTCTAAGTCTACTAACTTGATCCTTGGGAAATTGGCCAGAAAAACTGTGTATGATCACATTGGATTCTGTCTCCATTTAAGAAAAACATGACTAACAAAGGACTTTGATTTCTAAAATTATGCTTACTGTGAGTGAGCCTGGAACTTTGGAAAGATGCCTTTTGTACTTCCTAAGTGATTATGCCTAACAATGTCTACTGAAGAAAGAAAGGCACTGTAGCATAGGTAAGAGCACATGGGATTTGGAGTCAGACTACCCCCTGGCTAGATGCTATTATTAAAATTATCTAATATCAAAGAACAGCAGTGGCCTCATCCATAAAATGGAGATGGTTACCCTACCAAACCCACAGAGCCACTGTGAGATAACGCACATGAATGCTCTTTATAAACTGAACATACCACACGAACACTAGTAGTCACTATAATGCATATTTAGTAACTATAGTGTTATTGTGCTTGCCTTTCACCTTTCTGATTTGATCTCCCCCGTTAGGGTGTTAAGTTTTTCTGTAGGGCAGGGATTTTTATCTGATCTGTTTATCACTATATCCCCAGCACCCAGAACAATGCCTGGCACATATTCAGTGCTCAGAAAATATGTGTGGGTGTACGAATGATCATAAAATGTTCTAGTACTGCTTACTCAAGTTGGTTAGTCATCACAAATTAATAAAACTCAAGTTGGATCAGCTACAGAATTTTTCCAGAAAACCTATCCAAGGCCTGGTTGAATACAATCCAGCAGAGGAGTTCAGGTTCTGAGAAAGAACAAGCAAAATAACTGCTCTCATCTTTTTAGCACTCAAAAGTCTGAAAAGTACTCTTAGAGCTTTTGTCTTATAAGATCCTCAAAAAAATCATGCAGCATTCCAGAGAGGGCAGATCCTTCTTCTTTGCCCACTGAACAAATAAGCAAGCTGAAGCCTGGAGTGGTCTTTGACTTCCAGTCCACCTGCTGCTTCATCTTCTGCCTCTCTAACAAATGTGCTGATTAGGCCAGAAGTTCAAGAAGGGACGCCTGCTTTCCAAATCGTCTGGCTCAGAAACTAGGTTATACATTAACAGGGAGTTAAAACTAATCTGGTATTCTACACAGGGACTTCCACAATCTGACAGATGTTTGACCCTACAGTGTGATTCATCCCAGGCCCTCTGCCACAAATCACAGCTGACAAACACAACTGCAGCCACAATGCAAGTTCACTTCCTCCAGGCTGCAAGGAAGAAATGACACACCACCACTCTATGTGCTGACCACATATGCATGTATGACCAGTTACTGTGTGTTAAATTTTGAAAGCATCCAAATACTTTTTAATCATTTTGTATTTACTGCATTCCAAGTCAGAGAAAATGTGGTTACTAATTTAATGATTATGAAATCTTAAGTTATTTTTAAATAATTTAAACTTGGATAAATGTAACAATATAAATAAGTTCTGAGCATCCTCTGACAGTTTATGTCAAAATGTTTCTCGACATCACCAGTATTTGTCTGAATAACAGCCAGTGTTGAATATTATGCAGATTTTATAAGACTTCTTTTTAAGAAGAAAGAAAAGGTTAAAAGTAAAAACGACATGTGTACCTTCTACCTTTTCCAGCTTGGCCAGGGTCAGTCCTATTGCATTGGGACGATGTGGGCTCCTTGTGGAGAAAACTCCAGTCTTCGCACCATTCAGCCTAGGAGGCTGAACTTTTGCCTTACAGCTCAAATGACCATTTTTGTGAAAAACAAACAAAATCCTATTGAAAAAAACAAACCACTGAGTAAGAAAAAAGCACAAGTTAATTTATCATAATGAGTTGAGGGGGGAAAATCTTTAATCCCCACAAATTAAAACAGAAAGAATGCTTTTAATGGTATTAAAATGTAATCCGTGAGAAAAAAAAAATACCATTCCTGTTTCATGAAGGAAGAGTCTTATCTCAGTATCCTTTGTCCCTAATACAATGAGTGGTACACAGTAAGAACTTAATAGATGTTTGTCAAGTGCCCCATAAACAATATTTATGAGGTGTTTGTTATATGCCAGGCAGTATGCTAGACATTTTTATATTCACATCATTTAATCTGCTTAACAATCCTAAGAAGTATAATTTATTCCCCATTTTAAGGATGAGGAAATTGCTGTTCAGAAATGTTAAACAACTTGACTAGGCCTTCCTATACAAGATTAAAAGCAAGAATCTATGAAGAAAAGCAGTTAACAGATTTGAAATCATAAAGTTTATGTGCTACAAAATGTCATCCAAGGAGAAAATGTTTGCTGTGTGTATAATAGACAATGAATGGATTAATATCTGTGGTATCTAAACTATTCCTACATATCACAAAGGACAACTCAATATAGGAAACGAAACAAAGACCATGAAAAAGTAATTGACAAAAGAAAGAGAAATAGCTAACAACCATATGAAAAGATGTTAAACTTTGTTAATAATAAAAAAAATTAAACTAAAAAACAAAATACTGTTTTTTCCTGTCAGGCAAAAATGTAAAAAATTGGTAACAAATAGTGCTATCAATAGTGTATAGAAAAGGTCATTTTCATTTACCATTGATGTATACATTGGTTATGCTTTTTAGAGGGCAATTTGGCAGGAGCTCTCCAATATTATAAGTATGTACACCTTCTAACCCAATACAGCCACTTCCCATATCCTATTCATAAAAATATACAAGTGCCCAAGAATGTGTCTAAGGGGGTTTGTTACAGCATGACTGTAATAGCAAAATAAGTCTCCATTAACAAGGGAATAGTCAAATCATGGTACATCTATATTTTGCAATAACAGGCAGCCATTAAAGCAAAAGAAAGTAAATCTATATGTACTGTGTGATATACACACTAAGTGAAGAAAACATATTCCATTGTTTTTTTTAAAAAACTCACTCTGTGTGTATATATTTATGCTTCTATGAGTATCAAAAAAGAAAAAGAAAGAAAAGGTTTGGCAGGATATACACCAATCTGTTAACAGCGATAATCCCTGAAGAGTGTTGAAAGGTGGGGATGAAAAAGAAAAAGAGGAGAATTAAGAAAAAAAAATCTATATACTCCTGAGTCCATTTTTTTATATCAGCAATGTTTTTAACTTAAATAATCCAATCAAGATCATACACACTAGATCATCAGAACACCCATGTTCGTTCTAATCTACCCAAACTAACATGAAAAAAGTAACTATTTCAGAACAAAAACTTAATTTTAGGTCTACACCAGTAAAATTAGACCACTTCCGACTACTGATGTTGGGGTGAGGAAGAATGGACAAAAAGAATTCCAAATGACACATATAACACAGGCTTTAATATAGGTAACACTTTATTATTATTATTATTATTATTGTAAAAGGTGGAAATTTATTGAGAAACAAGCAGACTCCCACGTGGGGAGGGGGAAAGAGTCCCACAGCACAGATTCCCACGTGGGGAGGGGGAAGAGTCCCCAGGTAACACTTTATTTAAACTATCCAGATTTCTAAGGTCTCTTTTGTCTTCTAAGAAGAGTAGACTTAATTCTTCATGGGTGTAGGGCAGGGTCCGAAAACTTTCAGTAAAAAGTCAGATATCAAATATTTTAGGGTTTGTAGGCCAACTAGTCTCTACTGTAACTATTCAACTCTGCTGCTGTAGCACATGAACAAATGCACGTGGCTGTTCCCACACACGTATTTACAAAAACAGAAGGTGGTGGGATGGATTTGGTCCATGGGCCACAGCTTGCTGACTGCTGGTGCAGAGAACAGAATGACTACCCATAGACAGAATAGGGAGGGTCTACAGATTTCAGCTCAACAGAAAGGTGTTGATCACAATGAGAGCCAACTGCAAAAGGACCGTGCCTCCTCAGTGTATCCAAGCTTCCCTCGGGGTGTCCAAGTTATGCAGACAATCACATGCACAAATACAGCAGAGGAATCTCACGCAATAGACAGGTTGGTCTGGATGACAGGCTCTAAGGCTGCCTCCATCAGTGGTTGCATATCAACTGGAATACATTTTACTCACGGGCAAGCTCTGGCCCAACGCTGTAAAACAACTTACCAAACGTGAGAAAACTCTTCTAAACCCATCAAGGAATGTTCAGGATTATTAAAGATGCTCTTTCTAATTCTCAAACAAGCCCTTGAATGGCGACAAATGGATGGCTGCCTTGGAGTACCATTCTTGGCTGAGAAACAGGATTCCAAGTAGCCAATTGGCTCAGTTAAAAGATTCCCTATAGAAAATAAATTAGGTAAGAAATCATTAGTCAAAAGGTGTACGAAAACATGTTTTTTCTAAGGCATTGATTTCATAGTTTTAAAACCTACCAGGTGTTATACAACTACAGAACATGATTCTTACATGCAGGATAGGAATAAGCACAGGCATGCCATGGGAGTAGTACTGGCATGAAAATCAGAGAAATGGGGTGAAGTGATTCCCTAAATAATACGAGAGGGTTAGGGCTAGTATCAAAGAGAAAAAGGACAAAAACAAGGTAGAGCTATTACATTAGCTGTGAGACCTTGGACAAAATCACTTACATCTCTAAATCTGTTTTCTCATCTATAAAACAAGGATAATAACACCTATTTCAGAGTTATAAGATTATCAAAAGATGTAAAGCACCTAGTACAATAGAAGGTGCTCAGCAAGGAGTGGTTTTTAAAGCCCTTGCTCGGGCTTTCCTTCCTTTTAACAATATTACAACTATATTAACTGTGTAATAAGAAAAAAACCAGTAAGTTACTGATGTAGAGGTTTTGTACACAGTGTTTATTTACAAGTCTTGTGCAGGCAGAAAAGTTCAAATGGTAGGTCCTTTCCACTTCTTGCCTGGACTATTAAATGACTCTTGTTATAATTTGTCTCCCCTCTGCCAGTCCCTCCCCTCCTCAACACACACTACTCCAGTCCTCCAGACTCTGGGTTCCTTATGTCATGCTACTAACTTTAACTTTCCATGTTTCCCACTGTTAACAGATGGTGCATTTCCTAGCCTGGTGTTCAAGGTTCTCTATAATCTGAATCCAATCAATGGTTCCCCAAACTCCCTGTTCCATCAAATACTTCTGAGCCACGCTCTTTCCTGCCCGTCAAAATACTAGACTTGTAATCTGGTAGTGTGCAACTCTAAAAAAAAAGAGCACAACCTTCGACCAGGTAACAGTACTTTTAAGAAATTTAAGTCAAACATTTAGAGCATACACAAAGATTTTAGTTTCAAGAACTTTCATTTAAAACAATGAAAACTGGCAATATCCTAAACGCCCAGTAATAGGGAACTTGTTAAGTTAGAGGACATCTATAAAACAAAATAGTTAACCCCTTAAAATTAAAATGATTGACCATGGATTTTTATGAATCTTAAGTTTTTAGAGGTCATATATCAATTCATATTCCTAGGGTGTATGCAGTAAAACAAACATCAAGATATTCACCATGGTTTTCTCTGGGTGGTGGCTAATTTTCTTCCACTTGCATCCTCTAGTTTCTAAAGTTACTATAGTTTGCTCTACATGCAAAGGTGAAAAAAAAGAAAAGCAAACTCATTTCATCTTTCCGGGCCCAGTTTAAAACTATTTCCTCCCTCTGGCCTTTCCAGGCTTTCCTCATTGCCTACAGGAAGCTCCTCACTGGTGGCACTAATTCCTAACCCGCACACCACCAGCGGCACGCATCCTATCTCTCCTACATGAACAAAAGCTCCCTACGAGAGCCGTTACACGGGATGAGGCCAGTTCAACCACCGCGGCAAGACCCGGCGGACCTCAGCTGCCGAGGAACATGATGACGTCATCCAGCCCGCCTAGACAGGTCACGTGGTCGGCAAAGCACGTGAGCCGTGCCTTCGCAGTAAATGTGACGCACGTCAGCTCAGGGTCTTGCATTTCTCGTCCCTCTCTGCAGTGAAGTGGGCGGCCCACACCTAGGCCTCTTCCGAGTGCGAAATCGCCAGCCTCTCAGAAGTTACCTGTCTCCAGAGCCGGCTTCACGCACCCGCACGGGGTCGCTGTGGGGCGACGCCCTGGTTCCTCCAAGCCGCGCATGGCTACAGGTGACAGAGGCGCCCACCCCACGCGTTCTAGCCTTCCGCTTCCGGTCTGCATGCCTGGCGCCTGCGCAGCAGTCGCACCCGCAAGGTGGTGTCAGTATCCGGCGCAGGCGCAGTGGATGGGGCGCGCGCGATATCCTCGGGCAGCCCAAAGGTTACCTTTACTGTGCAGGTGTTTGTCATCCTCTGTTCCTCTCCCGTTACGGGGTTCCTCTCGGAACCGAACCGGTGTCTTAATTGTCTCGCGCGGACCCGCTGCAGTTGCTAGCCCTTTCAGAGCAATCAGCGACTCCGAGTCCCCGCCCTTCCCAAGGGGTGGGGGGAGGGCACAACCAAGAAGATTTAAAAGAGGTCTATCTCCAAATAAGCAACCTACATATCAAGCGCATAACGTTAATATTTAAAGAAAAATAATGTGGGGCCGGGGGGAGAATGTGTATGTGCAATGACCAAATAGCAAAATGATCGGATGTTAGGAAATGTTTAAAATTCTCCTTGGGTGGTGGTAATACCCATACCATACATTCATACTTGTATGTATGCTCCCATTTTTCCATAGTAAGAATGATTTACCAGAAAGGAACCCAAGTAAACCTTCAAATAAAATGGATGGGAAACCCCATACCGGATTAGGGGTTAAGAAGTTGGGACTGTTTTTGTGCTCCCTCCCTCAAGGAAACTGAAGTGAGAATGAAATTGAGAGTCAACAGGCCATTTGCATTGAAGGGATTAGGGTCGTTGTTTCTGGGCAGCTCTGAGAAGCTGAGGGACAACGAGGACCCTTTTTTTAAATCGCATTCGATGAGCAGTTATCCCTGTAGGATAGCCTATCCTTTTACCCACTTGTAACATCATCTGTTATCTATTTTAAGTTTCTCTGTATGCATTTTTCTGTTTCTGGGCATTTTATCCTGTTAGTTCACGTGACGTGGTGGTAGGATGGAGACATATTGCCTACAATATAAATTATTCAAAAGCATACAAGTCCACAGACTTAAAAGCTTAACAACCATTTTTTTAAAAAAGCTGTTTCTAAACCTGTTCATTTGTTATGAACTAATGGGTCACTAGTAGAAAAGAATCAGCAGAAAGAGCCAAGGATTTAAAGAGAACGTGGTTTAAACAGAAAGGCACTTGAAAATTTGGAAAAGAATGCTATTATTCTGTTTCCACTCGGAAACAGCTCTGTGTAGCTGAAGAAACAAGTTTGAGGATGGCTGAGCTATATATACGCTGTAAAACTGGCGTGGTAATAGCTGTGTTTGCCACTAGATGGTGGTGTTGTGGAAAGTGACAGTCTTCCTTAATATGTGGACAGTCTAGTGTAGAAAATGAGGTATTTATTTGCCTTCCCTGCCTTAGACATCATATGTAATGACATTTACACACACAAAAATACATTCATTACCAAGTGTGACAAGTACTGAAATGCAGAGCAGACTTGGAAAGACTAATGAAGTAGATTGCTACCTCTTCAAGGTAATGTAACATCTTAATTTCTTAAGTTTTGGTACGTGGACCATGGTTACAGAAGATGTTAACCGGGTGAGAGGTATACAGGAATATTAGTTCATAACAAATGAACAGGTTTAGAAACAGCTTTTTTATGTAATTCTAAAATTATTCCTCAAAAAGTCATTTAAAGCAAAATAAAAAATATACCTATGTCTGGATGTCATCCTAGGCAGGTGAATAGAAGCCCCAGGGAGGTGTCTGGGCATCGTAATTTCGAAATCTTCCCCAGTGGTTCTTATATACCAAGAGGGTTGAGAACCACTGTTCTATACCATGAATGCTTGAGAGACTAGGATTGTCTTGTTCTTTACTGTTGCTACATCTGCATAGAAAACTTAGGCAATTGTGCCCTTGCTGAACCAAACTTCCAGACCTCTTCCCACCCAGAATAGTTCCTGCTCCTGCCCCCAGGCTCTCCTCCTTTTCAGTTAATCCTGACCATTATCACCAAATAAATACTCCTAAATACTAAAACTGCCACTTCATTGTTCAAAAGTCTTACTTAGTTCCCCATTACCTAACAAGGGATATACTTCTTAGTTAAGTATTCAAAATTCTGTACACTCTAATAATACAAGATTTTTAGCTTCTAGGCTGCTATTCCACAGGGACCCTGCATTAACTGAACGTCTTGAACACTTGAATTCACTCCTCTCTGTGGAACATACCATAATAATGCCGTTATCCCCACCTATAATATAAATCCTCTCCATCTTTCAAGGCTCCACTCGTGTAATTTTTCAGATCACTTCAGCAAAAGAGGGCATTCCCTTTATTGTATCTACTGTTCAAATGGCACTGTCATTTACTATTTTCTTTAGTAATTATTTGTTTCCTGTTTTATTCCCCCGTAAGACTAGATTAAACACCTGATGGACAAAGTGTTATAAGTCTTCTAACCTTCAAAATGCTTGCCATGATGTATTCCACACAATTAAGCATGTAATAATGATTTAATGTACAAATACAATATATAAAAAGTAAAAACAGAAAATTCAAATTCAAATACACAAGTAAATACATTCAGCACTACAAAATATCTTTGGAGTCCCAGAAAGATAAAATTAACTTAAAAAAACAACTAAAACTTGAATAAAATTTTGATGCTATTGTTACATTATTAGTTGAACAAAGTTTACAAGAAAAGTATATACTCACCCAAATTTTAAGTGCTCAAATTTATTAATTTTTTTGCTCTTAAGAATTAATCAAGCCCTAGCTGGTATGGCTCTGTGGATAGAGCGTCAGCCCATGGACTGAAGAGTCCCAGGTTCAATTCCAGTCCAGGGCACATACTTCAGTTGCAGGCTCAGTCCCTGGCCCTGGTCAGGGTGCATGCGGAAGGCAACCAATCCATGTGTCTTTCTTACATCGATGTTTTTCTCCCTCTATCTCTCCTCCTCCCTTCCACTCTCTCTCTGAAAATCAATGAAAAAATATCCACAGGTGTAAATTAAAAAATAATTTAAAAATATTAGGGGAAAGTTAATTATTCAGCCCTCCCCTTTCGCATTTTTGTCTTTCCCCACCACTATCCTCACCCCAATATACATATACATACACACACATGCACACACACACTGTAGGTTGTTGTCTATGTAGTATAGCCTGGAAAACACATTAGTTCTCTCTTTCAGATATGATCTATACATGGAAAAAGAACACACTATTAAAATATGAATAAATATTGTAGAGATTGCTACAATATTTTGAGAAAAATCACATGTAATAAGATGTTGCACAATTGTTATGATTGAGCATTGTTAAAACAAAACATAACTATAGACGTCATTTTCTGGGTGAATCTCTTGAGGAACGTTTGGAATTGCTGGTGTCTCTGGTTCTTGTGCTTTGGGTTTTTCTTTCATTTCTGTAAAATCAAATAAAATATAAAAATAGGTTCAATAAATGGTATTAGGACAATTGACTATCCATTTGAAGAAAAACAAAACTCTACCTCAGACTTTGCACAAAAACAAATTACAGATGAATTAAAGATTTAAATATTAAAATACCATAAATGTTGTAGAAACAATAGAATGTTCCTATAATCTTCGGATTATAAAGGCCTTTCTAAGCAGAACACAGACCAGAAACCATAAAGGAAAAGATTGATACATTTGAACAACTAAAAATTAAAATTTAAATGTCATATACAAGACAAAAAGCACTATAAACAAAGTTAAACCACAAACAACAACTGGAAAAATAAGTACAACTTATATGTAGGCAAAGGTTTAATAACTATTATTTAAAGAGTTTTTAATCAGCCAAAAAAAGATAGATATCCCAAACTTAAAATAGAACAAGGATTCATACAGGCAATTCTCAAAAGAAAAAATTCAAATTCATAATAATCATGAAAAGATGTCAAGTAGCATTAGTCATCAAAAAGGTGGAAATTAAAACCATTAGTGGTGTTTTTTTTACCCTAGCAGGTAGGCAAAGATTTTTAAAACATTACTTGGAACCCTACTAACCCCATGGTTCTGTTGCACTCTTCTTTAAGGAGAAAAAGTAAATAAACTATCAAAAGGATTTCTTTAGAAAACAATTCCCTGGAGAAAACTATGGTCTGACAGTTTCAGCTCAATTTCTTTTTTTTTCTTTCTTTTTTTTGTTACTCCTCACCCAAGGATATTTTTCCATTGATTTTTAGAGAGAGTGGAAAGGAGGGGGAGAGACAGAGAGAAAGATCACATCAATTGGTTGCCTCCCGCATATTCCCTGACCAGGGCCGGGGATTAAGATGCAACCAGTATGTGCCCTTGACTGGAATCGGACCCTGGACTCTTTAGTCCGCAGGCTGATGCTCTATCCACTGAGCCAAACCAGCTAGGGAAGCCCATTTTCTTATAGTACAATCTACAGCACTGTACAAAGAGAACAGATTCTCAGTAATGTCCGAGGCAAGTTAAATTGAAGAAAGGTTACATTCTCTTCAAAATTCTATACTTAGGAGAAAGCTTTTCAGACAAATAATAAAATAGAAAGGATTTTTGATAAACACAATAAATCCTGGTTAACAGGAATCACATTTTACACCTTTGTATCTTCTTCAGTACTGTACACCATGTATTTACTTGCCTTTTGCTTGCCAGGAAATTTTAATTTTCAAGAAAAACTCTGTTCAAGTTTTCTTGCAAATCTAAACTTAATTATCCCTAAAATATTTTGCACACACATTATCCTATATTGGGTTCATTTCTTTTCACTGGCTAAAGCTTCTCAAAGTGGATAGCATGTGCAAGTAACTACTATACACACTTATATTTTCAATTATTTTCTTTTAATTCTTTGAAAATGTGCCAAACAGACATTGGTTAAATGAAAAACTAGCCAATGACATGAATGATACCCCTTGAGATGACGGGATAACCAAGGATTGTTGAAGAAGGCTATAAATCACCACTCTGAGGGAGATATAACTATTTAATGCTCTAATTATAAATGGAAACAGGTCGTTGACTTGTCCCCTATAAACCACCCCTACCTTGAGAAGAAGTATGAACAGCCTTAGCATCTTCCTGGTGTGCTTTAGGATCCTGGCCTTGGGGCCCATCTGCTTCTTGGTTTGGTTCAGGAAAGCATTCTGTAGGCACATTCTTATTTTCGTATGGCTTAGTAGAGAGGTCTTCAGGCCCTTGTTTTTCTTGGTATATTTCAGGTGCACAATCTTCAGGCTCAGGTGTTTTTTGGTAAATGTGTATTTCAGATGGACATTCCTCATGAGCAGGTGTTTCTTGGGTTGTCTTATAAGAGAGGGCTTTGGGCACAGAATTTTCTTCATATGCTTTATGAGAAATGTGTTCAGGTTCAACTGTTTCTTGGTATGCTTTTGTAGAAAGGTCTTTAGGCACAGCTATTTCTTGTATTTTAGGAGGAAAGTTTTCAGTCCCAGCTATTCCTTGACCTGGTTCAGTACTGTCTTCCTTGGGTTCAGCTCTTTTTTGGTATGTTTCAAGAGTGTAGCCTTTAGGCACATCTGCTTTGGGGTATGCTTCAAGAGCGCATCCTTCCATGCCAGCTATGTCTTCATGTGTTTTAGAAGGAAGGGCTTTGACTACAGATGTTTCTTGGCACATGTTAGGAGAGAGGTCTTCAGGTTCAGCCATATCATGGCACATTCTGGAAGAAGGGCCTTGAATTACAGCTATTTCTTGGCACATTTTAGGAGAGAGATCTTCAGGTTCAGCTATATCATGGCACATTCTGGAAGAAGGGCCTTGAATTACAGCTATTTCTTGGCACATTTTAGGAGAGAGGTCTTCAGGTTCAGCCATATCATGGCACATTCTGGAAGAATGGCCTTGAATTACAGCTATTTCTTGGCACATTTTAGGAGAGAGGTCTTCAGGTTCAGCTATATCTTGGCCTATTTCAGAAGGGTGGTTTTGAACTGTTGTTCCTTGGTACTGAGAAGAATTTTCCTGACATATAATGCTTTCTTGACCTATTGCAGAAAATGTTTTCTCAGGTTCAATTCTCTGTGGGGAGGCTACTGAAGGGAGAGCTTCAGTTACACTCCTAGGTGATTCGTTTTCTTTCTCTGTAGGTGTCAGTGCATTCTCCATCATTTCCTTTTCTAATTGTGACTGAGGCTCCACCTTCAGTTCTGTATTTTGTTTGTTTTTTCTGCCCCTTTGGTTTCCTTTTCCTGTTCTCTGCCGCTTGTATTTTTTCTCTCTGTGGAGGGATCAGAATTAGTGTCAGCAACAGGGCTACAGAATTCAGATAAGTGCTTGGTAATAACAGTCCAGGTATCCCACTGCCTTGTTTCACAGCCTTTGAACAAGTCACTTAATCTCTCTGGGCCTCAACCTCCTTGTCTGCCAAACGAAGGAGCAGGGCTAGATGTACTCAATTGTCAGGAGAGGACTGTCCCTCAGGAACTTAGTGTCTCTGATGCCTTGCTCACCAGGAAGTGTAGTGTGTGTTTGAGAGCATATACTTAATTGGTTATGAAAGTGTATAATTATGCTATAAATGAATAGACTGGCATTCTGGTTTATACACTAGTCTCTTTGGGTTTAGTCTGTTTGAGTTAGGCCCACTATGTCCTGGGTAAACTCATACATTTGCGTTTCTACACCCTCAGTCCAGGCACTGCTCCTTGTCTCTGTAATCTGCAGGTGGATGATGTATATGGCTTGCTTATCTAATACAGTGTCTTGAGCGCTCGCTTTGGCAGCACATATACTAAAATTGGAATGATACATAGAAGATAAGAAAAAAAGTCACATGAGATATATTGTAAGCTGGATCACAAGCTGCAAAAAACATTTCTTGAGGTTAACAAGCCTGGTAGAAAGGCATGAGTGGCCATGTCATGCTTACTCTGAAGTAATAGCTGGATTAAAGATCTAAAGATCAAAGGATGTACATGGAAATTGCAGCCAATGACAAATGGTTGGGTACTGCAAATATAACCAAATTCAGATGGCTAATACAGATGGGCTCAGGGGGGAGGAAAAGGTTATAAATAAACACTTCATCATTTTTCTAAACCTATTGAAATTCTGCCCCATGCTACCTGTTCCAGAGAGCCTTCTCTTACAGACCAGAGGGCTGAAATGCTCCCCCTGCTTAACACTCCTTTGTGATTTATTAGGAGGATCACGCTTAAGGCCAGGAACAGAGGCTGCCTCAATCCGTAGTTATTTCTGGAGAAACCTTTAAAAAAAATAAACTAGATGTTCTTTAGTGATTAAACCAGTGTCTTTTATATCTTTGTAATGCTCATAGTTCCTTGTACACCTTAAAAATGTACATATACTCTATTTTGTGTGTTTGAAAATTTTCATAAGCAAAAAAATTTAAGGATTGCCTTACCAAAACCAGTTTAAAGTCAATATTAAAAAGGTATATATGCAATAGGATAGTCAAAATATTAAAAATAAATTAGAAGAAAAGGGAATCTAAAAATGGTGGTATGGAACCTCAACATTTTAAAATATAACTCCAAGTAACCAAGGTAACAAGGTAAATTATAAAATCCTTATTGTCAAATTACCTGAATTCTTCAGGAAACACTTTTTCCCAGATATTAAGTCCTAAATAATTTGTTATATAGATCTCTAAATGAGGAAATCTGAGTAATATACATGTCCCATATTCTTCCTGGTAGTTTTTCAAAAGATTCTGTCATTTATCAACTATGTGATTATGGGTAAGTCACTTAACCTCTCTATGCCTTGGTTTCTTCATAGGTTAAATGGAATATATAGTATCTCCCCAACCTCATGTGGTTGTTATAAGAATTGAATGTAATGACTTACACGAATGAATTATCCAAATATAAAGTAGCACTCTTGTATTCCTATAGGAAACTTATAGTGCTTCCTATTTGCCAGGCACTGTTTTAAGTAATTTCCTTATCTATATATATAAAAGGCTGATATGCAAAGTGTCCCCACGGGAGTTTGACTGGGAGACCTGATGTTCTATCGCTTACTGTGATGTGTGACCACGAGGGGGCAGCGAGGAACAAAGGAAGGCCCCAGCTGGCAGTTGGCAGCTGGAGAAGGGAGGCCTTGGCTAGCAGCCGGAAGGCCCCAGTTGGTCCTGATCACCGGCCAGGCCTAGGGACCCTACCCGTGCACGAATTTTGTGCACCAAACCTCTAGTTCTCATATAAGGAATAATGATTTCACATCAACTTTTGAGGTGGATACTATTATCTCCATTTTGCAGATGACAAAACTGAGGCCCAGAAAGAGGGAGTAATAATCCAAGATCAAATGCCTAGAAAGTAGGGGAGCCAGGCTTCTAATCTAATCATCATGGCTTTAATAGCCAGGCTCTTAGTCATTACACCTGCTACTTCTCTCTGGAACTACTAAGGTTTCACTGTGTGGTATGCTGTAGTGGGAACAGTACTCAGTACAGAAATGTGTCACCAGAGCAAGCACAGCCAGCTGCTAAGAGGTTCACCAAGGTGTCATGTACTTCAGTGACTTCCTCAGCCTTGGCTCCCCAGTCCAGCAAGCATAGAAACCCAATTCTACCAGCACACTAACACTAGCTCCATTTATCAGGGGCAGAGCTAATCAACCAGCTTGAATAGACTGATATGTAAACCCAAAGGCCCATTTTTAAATGAACAGTGAGAAGTGCAAAGTCACACAGCAAAGAGTATTTGGGCTGATAAATGAATGCACTCTTTCTCTGTAGCAAGTACTTGGGAAGCCAATTAATGATCAGAAGGTTGCTGGGCAAACATAGAATTCAGAGAGCTAATTGGATACTCTTCAACAGAGTCACCTGCCACAGGACCCAAGTATAGATGTTTCTGCTAAAAAATAATAAACACATTCCTGGAAAATCTCACTTTCTGAAAAATCACGCACTAAAAGTAACAGTGGTTATGGGGGAAAATGAGCTGGGGCAAATGACTCAAAACCTATGCAACTTTTTCAACACTAGCAGAAACAATAATTGGTACTTGAGATAACTTGGATAGTCCAGACAGGTAGGTAATCATGACTGGAGGCTGCCTCAGGGGATAATAAAAATGCCCCAAAGCAACCGTGTAAATGCAGGTTTGCAGGTGCCGAGATTATGCAAATAAGGGCGGCACTCTGAGCCAGGGAAGTTGTCATTAGGTTGAGCACAGGAGGAAGTGCAACCTGCTACTCTTCTCTTAGGGAACAGCCCTGGATGCGGTCTGAAAAGGATCCTGCCTAAACAGCAGCCACGATAAAGGCTTTTTCCTTTCCTTCTATTACCAATATTCTAGCTCCTTTGACTAGGAAAAATCATGAATCAACACAACTTCCACATTATACTGACAACATTCTCCTATTTACCAATCATATGTGCGGTATTGCAGCAGAAAAGACAAATGCCCTTTTTTAAGAGTGCTTAGATCAGTGGTTCTCAACTGGGGGCCATTTTGCTCCCTCTCTACCTGCCCCAGGAGACATTTGACAATGTTGACATTTTTGGTTGTCCTAACTGGGGAGAAAAGAGGATTGCTATTGGCCAGAGGATGCTGCTAAACATCCTCAATGCACAGGACAGCTTCTCACACTAAGAAGTATCCTGCCCCCAGTGTCAATAGTGCCAAGGGACAAAAATCCTGGCTTCAATAGATGCTGTGCTCCTTGGCTCCTTGCTCTCCCCTTTTCCATCTCCAAGCAAGAAATGTCCCTGTTTTCAATCATATTCTAAATGGGTGCAGTTTGATGCTGCCTAATTTATAATCATGTTCTTGTACTCCCTCCCTGAGATGACAGGTGACTTAGATGGGAGATTTAAGAACTCCCAAACTATCTTGTCACATCACTCATTTACAGTGTTGGTTTCCTTCCTAGAGAGTTAATCACACTCATTTGATAAGGATTACTAAGGAAGCTTGGAGAACAAGCTCAGAGATTTCCTAACGGTGTCTCTTGCTCCCAACAACAAGATTCTTCTGTGTTTAAATTACCAGAGTGGTTGGATACCAGGCCTCTCAACAGCATAATTCGATTGTCTGGTGTTTTAATTTAAAGAGATGGGAGATAAAATTCTGTTCTCACCACTTTACCAGCTGTGTGACTTTAGACAAGAGATTTAACCCATTGGACACTTGGTTTCTTTTCTTTTCTTCTTTTTTTTTTTTTTTTGTAAATAGGGATAACAGTTCCTGATTTACAGGATAGTTGGAATGATAAAATATAGTGTGTGAAAGTGCTCTTGGCACATAGCATTTGCTGGATAAATATCAGCTCCTTGCCCGGCTGGTGGATTGAGCATCATCCCATGCTCCAAGAGGTCACTGGTTTGATTCCCAGTCAGGGCACATGCCCGGGTTGGGAGCTCAATCCCTAATAGGGGACATGCAGGAGGCAGCTGATTGATGTTTCTCTCTCATTGGTGTTTCTACCTCCCTCTTCCTTTCCCTCTCTATCTAAAAATCAATAAAAATGTATTTAAAAAAACATATCAGCTCCTTTTTCCCTTGTAAGGATACCATACCCAAATTGCCATTGTGAAGTTTGCTTTTCTTGTGCTTCAGCTTTTCTTTTCCTGAGCTGCTCTCTGTTTCGCAAACTCCAAGTTCCAATCACTTCTGTAAGATCAAAATGAAAGTTATAGGAGATAGCAACAAATTCTGATTATCAGCAAGAGTCCTATAGCAAAGGACTATATGCTGGGTGTCTACCTTCTCTCCTAGCTTTTTGAGGACAAGGACTCTACCTTATTTACCCTTGTACTTCCAAAGAATGTCTAGGAGCAAACAGTAAACCTTTTAAAATGAAAAGGTCAGTTTTTGTATGTAACTGTGCTACCAACCTATTAATTTCTTCAAAATAATTTTCACATATTGTATACACATAAAAGAAAAGAAAAATCAGCCATGTTCTTCCATCTTTAACATTATAACCTGTTTTCATTTTATTCCTCATACCATCTAGCTCCTATGTTACACAAAATTGTAATGAGAATATGCCACAATTTTATCATTTATTAACCAAACATTATATCAGATCATTTTCCATGATCTGATCTTCATAATTATAACTTTAATGACTGCATGATACTTAATCAGATTGATGTGTTCTCAGTTACCCAGTCATTCTACTTGTGTTGAACATTTAGGTTGTTGCCAGTTATTTTTTTGCCGTTGTAAATCAAACTATAATAAGCACACTCATGCATATACTCTCTTTTTCCCTTTGGATTTTTTCCATAGGATGGTGTTTCTCCAAGTTCTTTGGAATATTAAAGTTATCATCAAAAAAAGGTTCTGTTGCTGTCCAAGTTTGAGAAACATTAATGGGTCTTTGATGTAGGCTTTCTTAGAACCTGTGGAGTGACAGCAAATTTGCACTGGGAACCCCAAAAGATAGAGCGTAGGAATCTAGGAGTTCATCAAAATGTCAAAGGGGCCCAAGGCACGAAAACGTTTAAAAACACGGTCTCAAGGCCTAAATTCTGCAAAACATTTTGAGAAATGCTGCTTTAGGATAGACCCAATGAGTAAAATTAGTGAGCCAAAAGAATAAGCACTACAGTTCCTGCTACCTATTGCTATAAGCTTCCCAAAAGTTATACCAAATTTACATACCATAGATATATATGGGTGTGTACTTGTTTAACCACAACCATCCAATATTGGGTATTTTCACTATCTTTCATTTAAATGTATTTCTTATTAATAATTTACTTATTATTTCCTTGTGTTTCTCTAGCTTATTAGAATCCTAGCACTAGAAGGCACTTCATGAAGATATACAACCCTTCTTCCCACCTATGGTTATATGAATGTACTCAATCATGCCCCTTTTTTGCCAGATCCATAAAAAAGAGGAAAATAATCATAGCCCCAATTCTTCCCAACAGCTACAACCTCTTTCATTACCTGGAACGTAGTTTTCTTGGTGAGAATCAGGTGTCTGATGCAGTGTCAAACGAGATTGGTTCTTTCCCAAATCCATCTTGCTGCAATACCTTCCTGCTATGTGGTCCGACTTCCTCAAGCTGCCTTTTTAAAAAATTTCAAAAGCAATTAACAGCTAACCCACACACACACACAAACTCACTTTTCACTTGACTTCCCGCCTAAAAGTTTTATCTGGTTGGACCACAGCTGCTGGCTACTTCTACTTTCTTTATCACAGTGCACAGGTGTGAGTAGGGGTCATGGCTGCTGCTCTGTCCCCACCCTCTAGCACAGGAGCCCACGGCTCTAGCCTGGCGTGGCACAGCCTCTGGTACAGCAGCCACTTGGTTCTGTATGCCAACAAGAACCTGAGTCTGACGTTCTGTTTTACAGAGGGGGTGGCACAGGTAGAAAGAACACTAGTCTAGGATCTAACCAGATCCATGTCCTAGAACAAGTCACTCACCCCTTTCTGTGGCTCTCTTTCCTTATTTGCAAAGTGGGTAAAAATAATTCCTGACTTGTGCACCTCACACAGTTTTTGTGAAAGTGAAAATAATAAATGTTAAAATTATGAAGAGTGCCATATGCTTGTGAAATTAATCTTATATTGTTTTTCCCATGAGGCATTTTTTACCTTAATCTGTTGCAAATTAATGTAAAGTCTTGCTGTATGTGCTGTAATAGACTTAGATAATAGGCGTAAAGACCTAAAATAGGATAAACAATTCAATCAAAAAATGGGCAAAGGACCTAAATACTAGTAGACACTTTTTGAAAGAGTACATACAGAAGGCCAAGAGACATATGAAAACATGCTCAAAGTCACTAATCATCTGAGAGATGCAAATCAAAACGACAATGAGGTACCATCTCACACCTGTCAGAATGGCTATCATCAACAAATCAACAAACGACAAGTGCTGGCAAGAATGTGGAGAAAAAGGAACCCTCCTGCACTGCTGGTGGGAATAAAGACTGGTGCAGCCACTGTGGAGAACAGTACTAGTATAGAGTTTCCTCTAAAAATTAAAAATGGAACTCCCATTTGACCCAGTAATCCCACTTCTAGGAATATAGCCTAAAAAATCAGAAACACCAATCAGAAAGGATATATGCACCCCTATGTTCATAGCAGCACAATTTACAATAGCTAAGATTTGGAAACAGCCTAAGTGCCCATCAGCAGATGAATGGATTAAAAACCAGTGGTACATCTACACAATGGAATACTATGCTGCTGTAAAAAAGAAGGAACTCTTACCATTTGCAACAGCATGGATGGACCTGGAGAGCATTATGCTAAGCAAAATAAGCCAGTTGGAGAAAGATAAATATCACATGGTCTCACTCATTTGTGGAATATAATGGACAACACAAACTGATAAACAAAAATAGATCCAGAGAAGCATCGAAAGACTGTCAAACCTCAGAGGAAAGGCAGGGGAGGGGTGGGTAAGAGATCAACCAAAGGACTTGCATACATGCATATAAGCATAACCAATGGACACAGGCACTAGGGGGGTAAGGGTATGTGCTGGGGGGCTGGGAGCGGGCTGGAAGAGGTCAATGGGTGAAAAAGGAGGCATATGTAATACTTTAAACAATAAAGAATTTAAATTTTAAAAAAAGACCTAAAATAGGAATTCAAAGCAAATTTGAACCCTTTTCTGCTAACCCGATCATTCACAAGTGACTCAAGCTAACTAGTGAAACCCACTGGTACTCATCCAGAAAAGTAAAAAAGCATTTCCTAATGAAAACATCACCATGGTAAGTCACAGAAATAAAGCTGAAGCAGAAGGAATCACCCCATCTCCAATTGGTCACCCCATTTGTGGAGGCAAAAGGCACAGAGAACCACAGCTGTTCATCTAGGAGGGAACACTGAACACCTGATACCTGCAGCCAGTCTGGGGACTTGGGTTAACATTGTGTCCTGGAGTCATAGATTAAATTGATGAGAGTTTAAATTCCAGTGTTGCCACATCCCCTAATTCAGTGACCTTAGTCATGGAGCCACTTTACCTCTCACATGGGAACAATTCATCATCTACCTCATGAGGTTATTGTGATCACTGAATCAAATAATCAATATAAGGCATTTTATGTGCCTGACATGTTGAATGTGCTTAATCGTTGGCTGCTTTTATCTATATATACAAAAGCCAAGCGACCAGATGACCAGAACAACTGGAAGGACCTGAATGACCAGTTGCTATGACGCACACTGTGGTTGGCCAACCTCCTGCGGCCCCTCCCCCCAGCCAGCTGGCCCCCTCCCATGCACAAATTTGTGCACCGGGTCTCTACTTAATAATAAAAATACAGTAACCAGATTTTGGGAAACCAAGTCATAGTTTAAAGGCATTTCAGAAACAGAAAATTTGAAAGGGATCCTCTATAATGTGAATAGGTGCCCCTACTTCCATAGACTCTTAACACATTAGAACTGGAAGGGCCCCTGTAACCATCTAGTTCCTCCTCCTACTTTATATACAAAGAAACAAGAACTAAGGAAGGATTTACCTGTCCCAAATTTTCTCACTTATTGCTGACAGCACCTCTTACTGATTATAAGATGGGCTATCTTCTTATGCTTGATCTTGCCTGGGTATGAAAATGTATGTGTGATGTGAACATACACACTGAAAAGTATTGAAAATTATCTCTCTCTCTCACACACACACACACACACACACACACACACACACACACAAGTAACCACTGCCAAAACTTAACGTGGTTTTTAATTAGCAGATCCTAATGCTTTAGCTTTAAGTTTCTCAGTTCCTCATTCTTTCTCACAAGTCTCTATCTAAAAATTCAGATAAGTTCAGGGAGTCCCTATTCAGAGGAATCCTGTAGGGAATGGAAGGCATGCTTTGTAATCTATCTCTTGATTATTTTTGGATTTTCAGATAAAGGACTTAAAGAAATCAAATGCAAATTAAAAGAAACTTTGAAGATTATAAAATGTCACTTTATATTTAAACTTGCATTTTAAATATTATTTTTTAAGATGTTTTAATTCTTACTGGTTGTTTCTTATGACAGCTCAATAAAATAACCTTATAGAATACCTCTGGGGCACCTTACAGAAGATGAGGAAGTACTTCTTAAACAGGATTGTCTTGACTTGGAGCTTATAACACCCATGTCAACGATCCAGCAAACATAACTGAATGCCCACTCTGTACCACATACTGGGCAAGGCTGTCAAGCCACAAAGATGAACAGATGTAGTCTCTGAATTCTGTGTACTGCAGGCTCAGAGAGAGATATAATCATCTTCATTGTAAGGACGTATTTAGATTCTTTATGCTCTATTGCAATCCTCCAAAGTTGATCCCACCCCTGCCTCTTGTTCCCAGTATCTAGGAGCAGAATGTGGAGGGACTATAAGTGGGAGGGGTTTCCAGTTAACAGTTAATTAGGGGACAGTATTGGGCGGAGGGGGCTAGTGGAGGAGGGACTTTGTAGCAAACTAGATTGGAAGTCAGGCAAGGTGTCTCTGGTGTGATAAGGAGGCCAGAGTAGAAACTTGTCTGGGACAGAAATAGCCACACAGTAAGTTTACAAGCCATAGTTCATTGTCCCTTCTCTCTGTAGAAAACTCCAGCGTCACTGGCAGAATGTGAGATGTTAGGCATTAAAGGCATATTTTTAACAAATGCTGCCTTGTTCTAGATTTATTTGCATAAATTTATGAAACCTCCCTCTAGGCCACAAACTCTTAGACTTGCCTTTCTATCTCCACAGTTGAGTCTGGTGGGGAGGCTTGGCTCACAGTAGTCCCCATAAATGCCTCATTCCTGTATGCAGGACCAGCTTCCTGGGCATGCAGCTTGTGAAAGTACCTTATACACTCAGAGGGGCTGATGCAACTGTAACCTAATGATAGTAATAACATCATCTGTTCCAGAACTTTCTACCATCATTCATTGGCACTATCCTATGTGCTGGTTATATAGCAGTTAAGAGACAAAGTCCTGTCCATACAGAGCCTATAGTCTAATGGGAAGAGATAAACAATATGCAAATAAAGAAAATATGATACATATCAGATGGTGGTGAATGCTTTGGAGAAAAGTGAGCAGGGAAGGACTGGATGAGGAATGAGGGGGAAGGTTGATGGTGGTTGCAAATCAGGTAATCAGGGAAGGATTGACTGATGGGGGACAGTTGAGTAGAACTGAAGGAGATGAGGGGCCATCCATACTGATATCTGGGAAGGCATTCTAGGCAGAGGGGTACCAACCAATGGCCCGAGGTGAGGGAGTGGTAGGAGGTGGGTTCACAGAGGTGGCTCAGCTCCTACCTCCTGTGGGGATTTCTCCTCTGAGTGAGATGCATAGTGATGGGATGGCTTTTAACAGAGAAGTGATGAGACTTGGCTTATATTTTTAAAAGATTATTCTGGCAACTGTGTGGAGAACAGACCACTGGGCACAGGAGAGGAGGTGGAAGCAGGGAGGTGAGGTAGGTTTTGCAGTAATCCAGAGTTGGGCTGTGATGATGGTGGTGAAGCGGTCAGTTCTGGAGCAGCTTACAAATTGGGCATGGAATGAGAGATGCAGTAAAAAACTATGACAAGCGTTTTGGTCTGAGCAACTGGAAGGATGGAGTTACCATGAAAAGATAAGAAAGACTAGGAGGAGCATGTTTGCAAGAGATGATCAAGAGTTTCTCTGGATGTGCTAATGGATTAGGGAGAAAATAGCAAAAGAGCAGCCAGTGAGGCAGAGGAAAACCAGAGAAGTGCAGTGCCCTGGAAGCCAAGTGGGAAAATGCTTCAAGAAAGAGGGAGTGATCAACTGTGTCAAATTTTGCTAAAAGGTAGAGGAAGGATTGATAATTGTCCTAACAATTTAATTCGATTCATTATAGACTGTAGAGCTCCGAGTGGTTTTAAATTATTTGGTCAAGGGCATACATAGATAGGACCAGCTACAGGGGCCAGCGCAAAATGAAAATGCAGAGCTCCTCCTTCAAAAATTAAGAATTTCAAGACAGCTACAGAAGAAAATTAAGCCCAGCACAGGCACCCACTTTCTAAGTGTTTTACTGGACCCTTGCAGTAGATTTAGGAAATAGCTATT